ACTTTAATGGCAGACCTCATAAATGTGTAAAAGACTACTATTATTATTTTTTACAAGACTGAGATTTAGGGAGCAAAGCAAAAAAGAAATGCTGTGACAATATGATAAATGCCTCTTTTTTGCTATTCCTGTAGGGGCAGCAGGAAAAGAACCCAAGGCAGACCTGCAAGGCCAAGGTAAATGAACTAATTAATTACTTAATGTTTTAAAAAATCCACCTGCTGTCTTCACAATGAAATTGTAAAAGTGAGGCATTTCTAAAAATGAGCTGATCTGGGGGGTTCTCCTTTGATCTCACTGTCTTTAAAGTACACTACAAAACCTGAAGAGATTGTAACCCCTTGGAAAACCTTTCGCAGCACCAAACAAGAGCCCTCCTCTGACTGAAGATATCCTGCAACCAATTAAGAAGGCCTTAAATGATGTCGGAATGAGTCAGGAGTTTTGCAGAATAACTGGCATGCTTCCACTTGGAAAGAATCACTGGGAATATGAGAAAACAGGGAATATTAGCCATCCCTATTAAAGACAACAGCATTAGGAGCTGTTTTCAAAACACTGGAGCTTCTTCTTGCCTAATGCTTTCAAAGCTGCTGCTCTCAGCTAAATTGATGAGTTGTTCTGTGTCTTTATTTTTAGTATGGGAAATCCAAAATAAACTTGGAAGTTCTTTGAAGTCAAATGCACAAGTCAAAACGTGAAAACTACATCTTGGCACAACTGACTTCTGCTTTTTTCTTTGTGAGGTTAGTTAAACTGGCATAACCCACAGTACTATGGAAGATGAAGGAGAATATTTAAAACTGTTTTCCCTTGCTTTATGTTGATGTAAAAGACTGAGAGATGGAAGGCAGCAGTGCTCTGGGCCTTTCACATCCTGAGTTCCCACTGAGGAAGTAACCTTGCTCTCAACCAGTGCCTAACCAATTCCTCCAGTCATCTGAAAATCAAAGATAAGTTCTCTGTACCTAGTGGACTATCTTTATGTCCCTTTAGGAATGGACAACAGATTAACTTCAGCTCATTCCTGAGAAGCTACTCACCTATGCTGTTCTCTGAAACCGAGGAGCTACCAAGTTCTTCATACCCTGCATTCTGAAAAGACAGAGTTGAAAACCTTCACATTGGCAAAGAAAAATACCTACGGTTGGAAATTAAGTGAAAGCTTCCTCCCTAATGCCTGCCCCCTCTTCCTTCTTTCCTCCCTCCCCAAAATAAAGTGGCATTTTGCATTATTCCCATGGAAGTAAGTAAGACTTGGATTGGTCCTTGTGGTTTGTTTTGGTTACAATTTGGGATTTTTTTTTTTATCCACCTTCCTGTAGTATTACTTTCAGTAAGAACACCAGGACTTTTAAAAGACTAAAGGCTGCCAGGGTTGCAGCTGGTAAATTTTCATGCAGAAGCTACAGAGTATTTTCCCCACTACAGTAGATCCTCTTATCTGGTTCATTATCAGTAGCATCCCCTGTACACTAAAATCCAGAGGCAGCAAAATACTCAGGCATGTACTTAGGGATAAGCTCATGTTTACATGATTTGCTAGATGAAGACCTATAGATAAAAGCTGTTACGGAGAAACCGTGATACCATATGGACATTCTCTTAATTGTCACATTTCTTCCAGATCTACATATGTTTTTCAAGCTGAACACTGGAGAATCAAGGATTATGTACATTTCAACAGCCCCTTTGCTTCCTGCAGAGCCAATGGTATAATCTATCTAAGCTTTACCACCAGGCTCTGAGTCCTAGCAAGGGGGAGAGGTCAAAAATGAATGGTACAGGCTTATGGCTGTATGGAAAGTCCTATTTTTTATTTTTTTAAAGGAAAGCAAATGGGGTCAACAAATGGAAAGCATTTTAATTCCAGCCTGTACAGCAAATGCTTTTCAGCTACATGAAGCAGATAAAAAATGACTCCAGATTTCAGCAGTGTCCTGTCAAGTAGGTTAGCAAAACAAAGACAGATGGCAAAGGATTATATCTAATTCTTTTTCCTAATTTATCTTTTCCTGACCATTCCACTGCACGCAGTCTAACTAGAGATTTACCAGCTTAACTTCCCCTCTACAGCGCACAGTGACAAACTGCATAGTATAGATTTGCAACTTCCCATCATTAGGAATGTTTAATTGGACACAACTGCTTTTTGTCAGCTGCCTTTAAATGCTGCTTCTGAACGACGGATGTTTACAGTGTTAGAGCAGTAGAACTCTAGCTTCACTTATAAAGCAAACATCCTAAAAAGCCCAGGAATATCAGAGTGTCTCTGGTGAATGTTGCTGTCCTGCTCAGTCAAAGAAGAATTTCAGGCTGGAATCTCTGATGCAGATGTGGGTAATCTCACAGCACATTAACAGTACTGTCCTAAAGATACCCTACTGTTTCTTTCCTGTGCTCCTTTTCCCTGTGCAGATAGAGAAAGGAAGCCTGTAGTACTTCCCTGATAATGCTAAAAGCATGCAGTCCATGACTGGCCCATTCTGCAGTCACAGTTTCTCATTGCCTGCATGATTTCGTTCTTCCTCCATTCTCACTTAATTATTAAAAGTTTTGGGGTTTTTTTTTGAAAATTCTCAATGGTTTTTGAAGTCTCTGTTTGCAAATGCCTGGCTTGAGACATACTGAGCCTGATCTTCCCAAGTAATGATGATGATCAGTAACAGCTCCTTACAGAGTCAAAGGAGAACTGACATTATTCAGCAAAGCTTCATTTGTAGTACCTTCAGGGAAATGGGAAGAGTACATCCAGCATAAGGTCTGTGCTGCCTCTCTGCTTCTTCTAATTGCTTTTACACCTCCCTCTGTATTAACACCTCTTGAAACCTCCAGATCTGGTCTCTCATTTACATAGTCGTTTGGTTTTCTGTGCATTCATCATACTTTTAAGATCCTAAATTTATCCAGTTAAAAAATACAGGAAATGGCAGTTACCTTTCCTTGAATAGCTTTCGGTTTACTTTCCTATCTTCTCTTTTTCTCCATTACCACTTGCTTTTTTTGAAATCAGAAAAATATCGGAAAGCACATGTCAGTGACAACAGCACCATCTTCTGTTCTGCAGAGGTTATGAAGTCTTCACTATGAGATGGCTCTGGTTTGAAAATTTGGAGGTAGAGGCGGATCTAAACTAACTCTTCCTGAGTTTCAATGTCTGAAAAAGTCTGAATGTATGTGGGGAATTATGGGTACATGAAAGTCTACAAAAACATTAGCTCTCATAGCATTTATCTCTGTGAGCCACCTTTAATTTTATCTTTTACTCTCCTCCTCATAAAAGCTCAGTGGCAAAACCGAGGCTATTTTTGCTTTCCTCCCCTTTGGCTTTACACATTGCCAATTTCCAGTCTTATTTGTTTATTTATTTATTTACCACAATTAACGTTATCCTTACTCTCTACCAATATCACTGCACTGATTGTCACCAGCAGAAAATACGCAGCCCAAATTGATGGCAAGATATGTATGGGCAGGGGATCAGCTTATCAGTTCATACAGAAGGCCATAGACCACAGGAGGTTATAGACCACGTGCTGCCTATAATTTGCATCAGTGTGGCAACAAAGGGAAGTTTGGGATATAAAAAAGGAAAATGAGGTGGGAGCACAAGAAAAAGCATGAAGAATGAAGTCCTAATTGAAAGTCTAATGTATGGACAATTAAGATTGGCAGCATGGGTAGGCTGGTGTGGAAATCAGTGTCTTGGTATTAGATAACAGCATGGGGAAGGATAGACTAATGAGTATGGAAAGGGAAAGGAAAAAGCAGCAGTATGTGTTTGATGTAGCACAGAAGAGGGAGACAGCAGAGGGACATAAAGGAAGAGGTGGCAAGGTCAAAACAGCAGGCTAAGTAACAGATCTAATTAGGGTAAGATTGCTTTTGTTAAGCCAAGGAAGGGGATGTGGGACAGGGACAGCCCAGACAATAATTGTAAGCATGTGGGTAGACAGGAATGGGCCTGTTTTGGTGACAATTCTACAGATAGAATTTGCAAGATACAGGGTTTGCTCATCTTTCACAATGGAGTTTATACACCGAGCATGATGTTCCATGGTATGGAATATGCCTTTGGCTAGTTTGAGTCAGGTGTTCTTGCTGTGCTCCCTCCCAGCTCCTTGTGCACCTCCTCATGGGCAGGGCGTGGGAAACTGAGTTCTCGACTTAGAGTAAGCACTACTTAACAACAACTAAATCACTGGTGTGTTAGCACCATTATTCTCAGATTAAATCCAAAATACAACGCTGTACCCACTACTCAGAAGAAAATTAACTCTATCCCAGCTGAAACCAGGACAACCTAGATGATACATATATCTTATAGTTGGGTATGAACATTTACCATAGCATCCGGTCTCCTTCTCTCATCTACGCTTCTAACTGCAGGTGCTACCTTAAAGTGAGAATCACATACAAGCTATGTGCACTGCTGTTATTTTTTGCCCAACAGCACTGAGGAAATCTAGGAGAGGACATGAATATACCTAACTATCAGTAAGAATTGTACAGAGCACATCTATGCTTTTCATTTCATTTTCCCATTTTATTGTGGGACAAGGATGTGGTGGGAAATCTCCTGCATGACTCTTTTCAGAAGTCTCCCATCTACTTCTGCACACAGTGGGAGAGGAGGCTGTGTTACGTACCCAGCGCCTCTAGCGATCTTACATGGTGCAGACACGCTCCCACGAACACCAGCAAGGAAAGAAAATCACGCTCCTTATTAACTGTGCAGAATTACCTGTAAATATGCAGGTAGTAGTATGGCACTATAAGAGTTTTGATGAGAGGAAAGGTATTTTGTGCAATCCAAAACCACCATCAACACAATTTAAAGACAGACACTTGGCCTGGACTCTATAATCTAATGTGGCGCCCCAGTACCTCAGCAGTGGCTTTATGACAACAGCATGACACATACTTCCAACATCGTAAGTGGGCATTTCCAAGCCTTGTAACTAATTGTCTGTAGTTTATACTGTAGTTTTGTCCATTATCCTTTTCCACTACAACCAACCACTGAAATGATCATCCATGGGTTTCTCCTAGGACAGAATTGACAGTTTATGTGATCACAGGGGAAAACATTTACACCAGAACAAGTGTACGTTTGCCTAAAAGCGTATGCAGTTAGCTAAGGCACTGATTTTTTTAACTGGGGGTGTGAGGAAGGAACCTCAGTCCTCTTGTGTTGCTAAATCGGTGTAGCATTATGGGTCCTGATGAAAACCAATTATCATTAAATATCTGAGTTCTACAACCAGACCCAACTTGGTCAGCTAGTTATGTGCTGGAAGCCCAAATCATCATAAAAGGTGCTGTTATAAAGTTCAGATAAGAACTAACAATAATAACCATTTCTCATATCTTTCCTGCCTCCCATAGGCTCAGTAATGGTATTAAATGGCACATGAAGACTCCAAAGAAAACAGAATGGGACATGGTCTTTGGTGAGGTAGGGACATGTGTTGGAAGTGCAGAGCTGGAAAGCATAAATTTAGGGTCCTAGCATTAGGACACTTAACGAGTATGGCAGGAGGGTGGGAATGCTGTGGCTCCTGCCATTTGAAAATTACAAAATGCTGCTCGTTGTTCCTTTTCTCTTACTTCCATGCCCACCTTTTGGGGTTTTGTTTGTGTGTTTATCTTTCTGCACCACAATCCAGGCAGAAGCTCCCCAGCCTGGTCTCCCACTGGCTTAATTTCTCACCTTCTTCTTTTTGTCTGACAAGACGATCTGCAGTGAAACAGTTTGAATTTAAATGCTGGTGTTTAACTTGATGTAATAAGACTTTAGACTTGACGCCCCACTGTGATAAAAATAAAGGCAAGAGAGAATCCAGGCAATAACGGAGAAGCAGCACAGCACCTAGTATTTTATTCTGATTTGATTACTGCTTGTTGTGCAGACCTTTAATGCTTCATTTAGTTAAAACTTACAGGTGCCTGGAAGGGAGAGCAATACTGTAATGAAGAAGGGATACCCTGCTTGGCATGTTTTCAAGCCTGATGAAAGAAACACCCACAAATCATCAGACTGCATGCTGTAAGTAAGAAGTGGAATAATTACTAAAGACACCAGAGCAAATGGAAAAGCAAACAAAATGTATTATGGCATGAGATTTCAACTGTAAGCATCCTAGTTACTAACACACATTATACCCATTCCTCATCTGAAAAATGTTTTTGTGTGTGTACTAGGGTTTACTTTATGTTTAAATAAATGTATCACTTTGCACTGTTTTCTTGAGCTTTTTCTAGATTCTGTTTTTATACGTAACTGAACACATGCAGAGTGGTAAGGAAACCATTTTAGCTAGTGGGTTTATAGCCACACTAGAGGTCCAGTTCCAATGAGAAGCTTCAGACATTTTGCAATCAGGAGACTTTCAAAGATAACAAACTCCTAAAAAAGTTTGGGGAAACTGGATAGCCAGGAGAAGAAGCAACTCTACTCATGTGGTTCGGAAGGTGATCAGGTGAGAACCTACACCAAATTTGTCCATTGCTTTCATAGGAACAGAAGGTTCCAGGTCTGTGTTTTCCTATGACTTCGTCTTAGAATCATAGAATAGTTTGGTTTGAAAGGGACCTTCAAAGTGATCTGGTCCAACCCTCCTGCAACAAACAGGAACAACTCCATCTAGATCAGGTTGCCCAGAACCACATCCAGCCTGGCCTTAAATGTCCCCATGGATGGGGTACCCACCACCTCTCGGCAACCTGCTCCAGAATTTTTACCACCCTCATTGTAAACAATCTCTTCCTTATGTCCAGCCTGAATCTCCCCTCTTTTAGTTTAAAACCACCACCGCTCATCCTATCACAACTGGTCCTGCTAAAAAGTATCTCCCCATCTTTCTTATAGGCCTCTTAAGTACTGAAAGGCTCCAATAAGGTCTTCATGGAGTCTTCTCCAGGCTGAACAACCCCAGCTATCTCAGCCTGTCTTCATAGGAGAGGTGCTCCAGCCCTCAGATCACTTTTGTGGCCCTCCCCTGTACCCTCTCCAACAGGTCTGCGTCTTTTCTTCTCAGAGAGTATTCCCAGCGTTTTTCATGTGCCGATCTCTAACTATTTTTCACAGGAACTGTAATCTTGCATACTGAATTTACATGTACTGAAAATCAGTTTGCTTTTCCTGGTTACGTTTTGGCTGCACCATGACATTAAACAGCTTGGGAGTTGTTCTCTGGCCCCAGAGCCTCTGGGCCTCATAATAAGCCAACAGCATTGAGCCAGCACCCAGGAAAACCTCTGGTGTGGTGTGATGACAGTGTTAGATGGGTTTCAACTTATATTGGCATAAATGGCCATAACAGGCAAAACTGATGGGAAAACAGAGCATTTTGCGTGTTACTGCTGCTTGATATTGTTATGACACGCATGAAGCATAGAGTTTCTAAGGCGCACAATGAAGAACCTTCACCCCCTCAAACCCGGTGCCAACACCTAGGATGTCTCTGTTAATCCTTCCCGTGCTTGGCCCATGGGAGCACAAGGTGGGTCGGGCTTTGCTTAGCGGCCAAGACGGCTGGACACATCCACACGAACGCACCCAGCCGTGCACGGGTATCCCTGACAGGACACACAGCACCACGCAATCCGAACAGACAATTCCAGGCGCTTCCTTCCCTGCGCTCGTGCAACATCCGCGAAGCTCACGCACCTTCTATAGCACGCACCTACCCCGCACACCCCAGCGGGCGACGGAACCACGCCTGAGCTTCCCGCCGCACCTCCCACCGCCCCTCAGGGAGCCAGGTCCCGCCCGCCCCGCCGCGACCTGCGCAGGCGCGGAGCGGCTCTCCCGCTCCCCCCGCAGGATGGAGGTGGTGCTGGCCGACGCGCTGCTGGCGCGCTGCGGGGACCCCTGCGCGCTGCTGCGGGCCGTCTGCGCGCCGCTCTGCGCCGAGCGCGCGGAGGCGCTGCGCCTCCTGCTCCAGCGCCTGGCCGCGGTCGAGCCGCAGGCGGGGGAGGCCGAGGCGCTGCGGCGGGCAGCCTGGGAGGTGGCGCTGGAGCGGTGCCGGCCGCTGCTGTGCGGCGGGGAAGCGGCGGCAGGATGCGGGGAGCGGCTGCGGGTGGCGCGGGCGGCGCGGGGCGCGCTGCGGCACTGCGTGCAGCTGTGCGGGGCGCCGCTGGCTGCGCGGCTGGCCTGCGACGCCCTGTCCGAGCTGGCGGCGGGCGGCGGGGCGGGCGCGGAGGCAGCGGTGGAGGCGCTGGTGGCGGCGGCGCCGCGCCTGGAGGAGCCGGCGCTGGTGGCGCGGTGCGTGGCGGCGGCGCTGGCGCTGGTGCGGGAGGAGGGTGAAGGAGAAGCGATCCCGGCGCTGGTGGCCGGGCGGCTGCTGCCGGCGCTTGGCGGCAACGGCGCGGCCCTGCGCTACGTTTGGGAGGGCCTGCTGGGCGCCGGCGGCACCCCACGGGCCGGGCGGGCGCTGCTGGCCCTGAGCGCTCTGGCCGATGCGCTGCTGCCCCGGGGCCGGCCGGGGCCGGGGCCGGACGCGCGGCTGTGCCCGCAGTTCTGGCGGGTGGTGCAGGAGGGTCTGACCGAGCGGGACGGGCTGTGCCGGAAGCGGGCCCGGTACCTGCTGAAGCGGGCCCTGGACCTCAGCGGCGGTGAGCGCGCCGAGCTGCGCTGCCCCGCGGACGGCGGAGACGGTACGGCCGGGAGGGGAGGGGGGAGAGGGGTGCGGATGGACCCGGGCTGCGTGGCAGGGGTAACCTTGTTCGTTCTTTGTTTTCTTTTGTTAGACTCAAGTCTGTTTTGGTGGTCTGCTGAGGAGAATGAGAAACTCCTACAGTTTTGGGAAACTTACATTTTGGTAATGGAAACTTTGGAGGGAAACCAGGTAGGAGCGCTGTAAAATCGAGGCTTCTAGTATCATAGAACAGAATCATAGAATAGTTAGGGTTGGAAAGGACCTTAAGGTCATCAAGTTCCAACCCCCCTGCTTGTGAGGAACACCTCACGCTAAACCATGTCACCCAAGGCTCTGTCCAACCTGGCCTTGAACACCGCCAGGGATGGAGCATTCACAACTTCCCTGGGCAACCCATTCCAGTGCCTCACCACCCTCACAGTAAAGAACTCCTTCCTTATATCCAATTTAAACTTCCCCTGTTTAAGTTTTAACCCATTACCCCTTGTCCTATCACTACAGTTCTTAGTGAAGAGTCCCTCTCCAGCATCCTTGTAGGCCCCCTTCAGATACTGGAAGGCTGCTATGAGGTCTCCATGCAGCCTTCTCTTATCCTGGTTACATGTGATGCCTTCTGCAACAGTGGCTGTAAATGTTTTATTGCTCAAACCACTTCCACTTTGGGTGATTGAGGGTATCTAAATAAGCATTAACAGAAATATTCTTATTTTGAATTTTAAATATTTAAAACACAGTGCTTGTAATTCATTTAGTATAAGTTCAGAGCTGTCTTCTATCTTTGAATTGAAGAAGGAAAAATCTTCACCATAACTTATTGCAAGACCATGGGTAACCTGTTCCTTAGTGAAATCAGGCTGTTGCACTTTATGACCTTTTTTTAGTAGAGGGGACTACATCTGTATGGTAAAGCATTTGTGGCCTTGAGTGAAAGTGATTCTCAGTTTGAGTGTCCAGGGTACTTGGCAGAAAGATTCCTGTTGACTTGAAGCTTCTGTAATTGAATAGTGTTGTGTTGCTGACTACTGCTTGTGTGGCTTTGTAGTTATTTTATTTGTACGTAATTGTCCTGTAACTGAGAGAACTAGTATTTACTAAAATGTTTAATTTTAGAGATTAATGCTGCTTTATTATAATTTTGATGAATAGAATGATTGGTTATTGGGAAGCATTCTTATGATAGAGTAGCATGGAAGTACCAGTTTTTCTTCAGTGCTAAACTACGATTGTTACATACCGAGTGCAAGGATCAGTTGCATAGGCACTGTAAGTCTATTTAAATGCAGTTACATTGTCAATTACTATATTAATACAGTTGATAGTAAATTCTAGCCCATGAGTAAGTGCCAATTACTAAACTTGAGATATAAACTGACTACTTATATTACATCTGATTTGCATTTCAGATTCATGTCATAAAGCCAGTATTACCAAAACTAAACAGTTTGTTTGAGCACGCTGTATCAGGGGAAGGAGGTAAGATGCAATATTTTCTGAACCATCTCCTAACTATTAAGCAGTTAAATCACACTTCTTTTTTTTTTTTTTTTTTTTAATTCTGCTGTTTTAAATAGCAATTTTTCGTTATGTTTTGTTTCTCAAATTAGCTGGTGGCTGTTCCAGTTTTAGTGGGCCTTCTACATGCATAGGTTGCTTGGCAAACATGCATGGGCAGTGCCACTGCGCCAGGCAGAAGTCCTAGCATATACTTACTACTTACTATATTATCTTGAAATACTTTTTTCAATCAGAAATCCCAACTCAGTGGTCCTTTTGGACTATGTTTTGCTTAGTATGTTAATGTGTCAGTGTCATTTCTGTGTTGGTTTAGAAAAATTTGCTTTTGTAACAGGTTGTTGGTTGTTTCACCCATCATGGCACATGTGCATTTATAAACGAATGTTTGAGAGTGAGAATAAAACATTGACAAAGGAGGGCATTCTTCATTTTCTGGAGCTTTATGAAACAAAGCATCTTCCCAGTTCACTTGGTTTTTCAGAGGTAAGGCAGTTACTGTTACTTGCCAGAACAAATGGATGTTCTAATCTGTGATATATCTTAACACTAATTGCCTCAGTAGTGTTGGAGTTAGACACGTTCTGTAAAAATACCCTTTATTTAGCTGTGCAAGTGATAGCAGTATTTGTAAGTGGTGTGAGATATGGCTAGGCTAGAGAGAGTGCGTTTTTGAATGTAGTCATTCTTTCCCATATTTCAAAGTAATGCTAATTAAAGTTGGCTCCCAACTGATTGTGATTTTTTTTTTGTTTTTTTTTTTACCAGAAGTGAAATTGAGGGGTGATGGATGCTGCAGATTTTCAGAGCCCCTGAGCCTCTCAAAAATTAATGTTATTTGATTGAACAAAGTCTTGGATAAACATGGTCAACAGACTTCAAGTCTGTATATATTGTCTCCTATTCAGTGATGGATTTTGGAAATCCATTGTTAGATAACCCTGTGAAGAGGTGAACATATAATCAGTAATATACTGATGAGTATATTGCTGTATCCCATTAAAAACAACACTTTAAAATATTCTAGATGTGGGAAGAAATACTTTAAAGTTCTTTTTTTCTTTTATTAGTAAGCCTACACCTTTGTAAGGAATGATCTCTACTATATTGTTACTTCTTCCTTTCCTCCTTCATAGAAGGAATGTTGCCTTCCGAGGCTAACATTTCTGATTTATACAAATGAAGTCAGCCTCTTCACGACTAACGTGAAATCCTGTCAACCGTGAATCACACCCTAAATCTTTCTACTTGTGTTTGCCCTTGCCTTTCACTTATTTAATGTTAAATATCTTTTCTGCATCTGTTTCCCAAAAGTTTTTCTTACTCATCTGCACCTTTCACAATCCTCTGTGCAGTGTACCTAGTGGAAAAATTACTTTGCTTGTTTATTCACCTCTAGACACCTGGTCTGGTGGAAAGTGGCCCTGCCCATAGCTGGGGATTGGAAGTAAACGATCTCCAAGTCCTGTCCAACCCATTCTGCAATTCTCCTGCTACCCATTGTCTTTAGTTTCCTCTTTTTGCTCCTGATATTTAGTACTAGCAAGAGAATTCTTCATTTTCACTAAAAGAACTGTGTCCTTTTAAAATCTGGTGAAAAATGTCTTGTTATCCTCTGTGTAACAATGCCTTGCAAGTGTGCATTTAGCCATTGTTCTCGTTTCCTTTTGTCAGTTTGTTATTGGACCGTTAATGGATGCGCTCTCTGAAAGTTCCCTCTATAGTAGGTAAGACACTGATTTACATTTAGTTGGGTTTTTTTTAATGTATTGATTGTTAGAAATGTATTTTAATGATACATTTTAAAACATAACTGCTCTAAGTATGTGGATCAAGTCTGGGTAAAGGAAAACATTAATGAACAAGTGTTGCTGCACTTACTGACAGGTAAAGAGTTTTTCAGGAAGGGTAGGTGGGTGGCTGTAAGGTGAAGTAGGTTCAATTTAATCCTTGTCATAGCAACATGGGGATCCCTTAAGGGCCTATTTTACATCTTGTCAAGATACTAATTTGGAAGTGAA